CCCATCACCCTTATTAAAAAGGCAAGCAACTCAATACAGATTATACTTCTGTAGTTATGCAAAACACTTCTGTAGTAGTCATGTTGTGAAAAATTAACTATATTTCCCTTAATCCTATCCCACTCCCCCCATTTATTCTATTCTCTCTTTTCACCCTGTCCTTCCTCTGAAGTGTTTGCTTCTGATTACCCCCTCCCCATATGTGCCCTCCCCTCTATCATCCCCCTGCTCTCTTTTCCCCTTCTTCCTTTTTCCTATAGAGTAAGATAGTTTTCCATACCCAAATGAGTATGTATGTTATTCCCTCCTTAAGCCAAATCCTATGAGAATAAGATTCACTCATTCCTTCTTACCTTCTCCCACTTTCACTCCACTGTAAAAGCCTTTTCTTCTCTGTTTTATGTGAGATAATTTATCCCATTCTACCTCTCCCTTTCCCCTTCTCCCAGTATAATCCTCTTTCACCCCTTAATTTTATTCTCCAGATATTAAAACTTCATCTTCAACTCACCCTGCACCCTCTATCTATCTCTATATATACATATACATAATTTTTTTCCCTCCAACTACCCTAATACTGACAAAGGTCTTATAAGTTACAAATATCATCTTTACATGCAGGAATGTAAACAGTTCAACCTTAATAAGTCTCTAATAATTTCTCTTTCCTGTTTATCTCTTTATGTTCCACTTGAGTCTTGTATTTGAAAGTTCAAATTTTCCATTCAGCTCTGGTGTTTTCATCAAGAATGCTTGAAAGTCCTCTATTTCACTGAATGACCATTTTCCCCCTAAAGGATTATACTCAGTTTTGCTGTGTAGGTGATTCTTGGTTGTAATCCTATCTCCTTTGCCCTCTGGAATATTATATTCCATGCCCTGCAGTTCCTTAATGTAGAAGTTGCTAAATCTTGTGCTATTCTGATTGTGTTTCCAAAATACTTGAATGGTTTCTTTCTGGATGCTTGTAATATTTTCTCCTTGATCTGGAAACTCTGGAGTTTGGCTATAATATTGCTAGGAGTTTTCCTTTGGGGATTCGTTTCAGGAAGTGATTGGTGGATTCTTTCAATTTCTACTTTGCCCTCTGGTTCTGAAATGTCAGGGCAGTTTTCCTTGATAATTTCTTGAAAGATGATGTCTAGGCTCTTTTTTGATCATGGCTTTCAGATAGTCCAATAATTTTTAAATTCTCTCTCCTGGATCTTTTTTCCAGGTCTGTTATTTTCCCAATGGGATATTTCACATTGTTTTCTTTTTTTCATTCATTTGGATTTGTTTTACAGTGTCTTGATTTCTCATAAAGTCACTAGCTTCCAATTGCTCTATTCTAATTTTAAAGGAAGTGTTTTCTTCATTAATCTTTTGGACTGCCTTTTCCATTTGGCCAATTTTGCTTTTTAAAGTATTCTTCTCCTCATTGGCTTTTTAGACCTCTTTTGCCATTTGGGTTAGGCTATTTTTTAAGGTGTTATTTTCTTCAGTATTTTTTTGGGTCTCCTTTAGCAAGCTGTTGACTTGTTTTTCATGATTTTCTTGCATCACTCCCATTTCTCTTCCCAGTTTTTCCTCTGCTTCTCTTACTTGTTTCTCAAAATCCTTTTTGAGTTCTTCCATGGCTTGGGACTGATTCATATTTTTCTTGGAGGCTTTGGATGTAGAAGCTTTGACTTTGCTGTCTTCTTCTGGTTGTATATTTTGATTTTCTTTGTTACCAATGAAAGATTCTGTGGTCTGACTTTTTTTGCGAGGTTTGGTCATGATCCCAGCCGATTACATGAGTTTTAAATTCTTTTTTAAGGTAGGGGTCTGCTTCCAGTGTGGAGAATGTACTGTCCCAAGCTTCAGGGGTTTTGTGCAGCTGTTTTCAGAGATACTTCTAGGGGCCTTCTTTCCTCAAGCCTGACACTTTTTGTTTTCAATTCTCACCCAAATCCACCCAGGGCTGAGGTTGAGGTTGAGACGCCAGCTCCAGAGGCAGAATCAATGACAGAGAAGAAGAAAAAAAAAGCGAAAAAGCCTCCATTTCCATTTTCTCATTACCCCCCATCCTTCCTCTGCTTTGGGGATACAAGCTCGGTGTGTCTACTGCAAGCTCTTCCCATGGCCTCCAGCTCACAGACTCTAGGCCAATACCCAAAACAGCCCCTTACATTCAGGATGAAATTTCCTTACATGTATTTATTACTTTTGGCTTTTCAAGGAATTCTCAACCATACTAAATTAAGGTCTGTCCCTAACAATGACACTTTTAGAAATGCCTGAGCATCTCTCCTTTGGAGCTTGGGGCTCGAGCAAATACTTTTGTCTGGGAATTGAAAAGGCCATGCTTCCTGGTGCATTTAAAATGAAGTCACATTGAGTTTCTGTACTCACCTGGGCCCCTGCATCTATCCAGCAGAACAAGCAGAGCTGTGAAGACTAGGTTTTTGGACACAATGAGCCCACATAGAACTTGGATAACTGGAGAACTAAAGAAAATGGAGGAGTGTGATGGCCTGTGGGAGAGAGGAAAACAAGAAACCTGCAAGATAGCTACAAGGAAAGAGGTGTGGTGGCGGGGTTAGTGTCTCCTTAGGTCTAGGCCTCAGCCCTACCTGTGGAGATTCCCTACACTCACTCTGTTGATTATCTCCTATGTGTGTTATCTCGTATGTAATTTATCCTGTCTTTATGCTGTTCTCATACCTATGAACCTTATATTTGGGACCCCAAAAGACTGTGGGGTTTGGGAAGAGAGTGAGGAGACAATGATACTAGAAATGGTTCTGGGATTCATTCAGGGCTCAGACAAATGGAAATGGAATTGTCTGGCCTGAGAGGGAGCACTTCAGAAAGCAGCTGCTAGATGTACTGGGATATATATTTAGGAGGCAGATCTATGGCAGAAGCAGATGCAGATTCCTGGATCTCCCATTCTGTCTTCCATTAACCTCTCCTTATGGACAGGAGGGGCCAGTGGCAAGGGAGAGACTGCCCCTTCTCTTCTTTCTGCTCACACTAGGTCCTTGCCACCTGGCCTTATGATTCCTTTTTCCAGCTCCAGGGAAGGGATTTGGCTAAGGAGGGTTAGGAATAAGGGGAGGGTTGAATGTTGAACACACAGTCCTGCAATCTAACCAGTGATTATTCCCCACATTGGCCCCCTGGGGTTCATAATGCAATTGCTATATCAGTTATAAAAGCATATCAACTAGGTCCTAGGGTCTTAGACCAGAGCTCAGGACCTGAAGGAAACCTCAGAGACCATTTAATCCAGAGGTCATCAAAGCATGGTTGAATAACCCTTTAGTGTCCCTGAGACCTTTTCAGCATATCTGCTAGGTTAAAACTATTTTTGTCATAATGTCAAGATTCTGTCTCTTTTTTTTTTAGATTTTATTAGTTTATTTTGATTTATCAACAATCACTTCCACATGCTTTTGAGTTGAAAATTTTTCCCCCTCCCTTTCTCCCACCCACCCTCCCCACCCCAAGACAGCACACAATCTGATATAAGCTTTACATTTACATTCTTATTAAACATTTTTTCACATTAGTGAAGTTGTAAGTAAAAATTAAAACCAATAGGGGGAACTGTTAGAAAGATGAAACAAAACTCAACAGAAGGTAAAAATAAGTGATAGCAATTTGACTTCCATAGTTCTTTCTTTGGATGTGGACAGTGTTTTCCATCCTGAGTCCTCTGGAGATGTCTTAGATCCTTGTAATTCTGAGAAGGGTTCAGTTTAACAATATTAGTCATCGAATAACATGGCTGTTACTGTGTACAAAGTCCTTTTGGTTCTGCTCACTTCACTCAGCATCAGACCATACAAGTCTTTCCAGGTTTTTCTGAAGTCAGCCTATCCATCATTTCTTATAGCACAATAGTATTCCATTACATTCATATACCACAACTTTCTCAGCCATTCCCCAATTGATGGGCATCCTCTCAATTTCCAATTCTTTGCCACCACAAAAAGAGCTGCTATGAATGCTTTTGTACATGTGGCTCCTTTTCCCATTTGTTTGATCTCTTTGGGATATAGCCCTAGAAGTGCTATTGCTGGATCAAAGGGTATGCCCATTTTTGTAGCCCTTTGGGCATAGTTCCAAATTGTTCTCCAAAATGGTTGGATCATTTCACAACTCCACCAACAACATAGTAATGTTCCAATTTTCCCACTTCTTCTCCAACATTTATCATTTTCCTGTTTTGTCATGTTGGCCAATCTGATAGGTGTGATGTGGTACCTCAGAGTTGTTTTGATTTGCATTTCTCTAATCAATAATGATTTAGAGCATTTTTTCATATGACTATAGATGGCTTTAATTTCTTCATCTGAGAACTGTCTGTTCATATCCTTTGGCCATTTATCAATTGGGGAATGGCTCGTGTTCTTATAAATTTGTCTTAATTCTCTATATATTTTAGAAATGAGGTCTTTATCAGAGAGATTGGTTGTAAAAATTCTTTCCCAATTTTCTACCTCCCTTCTAATCTTAGTTGCATTGGCTTTGTTTGTGCAAAAACTTTTCAATTTAATGTAATCAAAATTATCCATTTTGCTTTTCATAATGTTCTCTATCTCCTGTTTGGTCACGAATTCTTCCGTTCTCCATAGATCTGATAGGTAATCTATTCCTTGTTCTCCCATTTTGCTTATGGTATCGGCCTTTATAGCTAAGTCATGAACCAAGATTCTGTCTCTTAAAATCTTCATTCCTCTCCTTGGATGAAGCCAATTTTTTTCCATGTATTCCAACACAAACAACGGACTCACTGCAGAATCACATAGGACATTCTAACTGTCCCTTATTAATTCTGACGTTAAAAAGTGCCACTCTTCTCACAAATTTTGTTTTGTTTTAGAAAACAGTTTTTCATTAAAAACAGTTTTTAAACATTTAATAGGTTTATTATTCTTATTTGAAATAAATTAATGTGTATTTTAAAATTTTACCAGCTCACATTTAATATAATAAATATTGATGAAAAAAGCCCCGTAAGCCAAAGCTCTTTGATGAACTCAATAATTTTATTAGCATAAATGGGTCTTATGATGAAAAAGTTTGAGGACTGTTGGGATAGGAGTTCAGCTAGGGGAATGCTCTAAGCTTGACCCCACTTTATGATGTGGCAATCCAACTATCCTTTAAGTTGTTTCTACATCAGGTCTTGAGACTATGGTGAGAACTAAGCCTCTACATCTTCAGAGGATTTACACCCTCCTGAACTTTGGAATCTGGTCAGCACATAGACATATGTAAGTATAAGACTGAATTTAGGGACTAGTCACATGCTCCATTGCCCTTAATGGTGATAAAAACTCTGTCTGGGACGAGGTATTATAATCTTCAGTGTGGTTAAGCCCCACCAAGTGGGAACCCAATACTTCTGGCTGCTGGTCATGTTCATTTCTATGGAACAAGAAAACCCAGGTAGTTGAACACTGAGAGGCACCATAAATGCCTCTTCTGGCTTAACTCTACAATGATATCATTGACTCAATATAGCCTGCTGTCCTGTAGATTGAATTTCCACAATCCAAACTAATTGATTGGGCCCAGGGTTACTTGTTCAATGTCTCAGATCTGCCTACTGCCTTAAATGGCAGCAATCTATGATGAGATTGCCCCTCAGAGAGGTAGAACTTTGATACATGCCCCCATTCTGCTGTAGCCATGGTGTTTGGGATGGTGAGCAAGAGAGAAAAGGACTCTCCCAGAGACTGCATCATCCTCAAGTGTCTATCCTGTCTATTTTGTCACGTTTCCCCAGAAGTTGCCAGGAGAACTCAGCCCATGCTTCATGAGCTAGTGGGTGTAGTTGTAGCCCTACTCCTGTTTTGTAAGGGCTACTCCAATCCAAATACCTACATTAGTCTTCTTGATCCTCTGATATCCCAAGTGACCAAACCCATCCTTCCCTATCCTATTTTTAATTTTTTTTTATCTCCTTTACCCTTTAGTGGGATAGTCTCTTCTTTATTATCTCTGATGTTAACCCCCAAATGCCTTCATAAAAAATCTGTATAGTATAGTATAGAATAGACACTCCTTCTTTGGGAGAAAGTGGGGGGAAAGCCTTGATGAAATATAGGAAAGATGGGGAATTTTCTCAAAAGAGATTCAATGGATGATGTCTTCTGAATGCCCTTGTACCAGTGAGTCCAGTGCTAGCAAATTGCTTTCTTTTTCATGAGGGTCCCAGTCTGGGTACCCTGAGGGGGCATTTCTCCTGTATGGTAGCAATGGACTGTAGAAATGAATGAAGTCATAAGTGTGTGTGTGTGTGTGTGTGTGTGTGTGTGTGTGTGTGTGTGTGTGTGCGCGCGTGCATGCACGCGCACTCCTGCACTTGGATACTTAGGCCTTTGGATTCTAGGAATGCTAAAGTTTTCCAAGTCAATAGATTCTGCTTAGTCCACAGTTGTATGAGATCCACAATTCTGTGTTTGTTTGTGACTTGTGCTAAATCCTCCCCACCTTTTGTCAAAAGACATTTCATAACATTACCCAATTCAGGGAATAATATCTTGACCAAACAGGAGATAACTAAGTCATGCTGAGATCCCTAAATTCTCAATGGCCTTCTTGAGGTACATGAGGGATACCCATTCCTTGGTCAGATCTCTCTTTCTTAGAAATCCTTATTCTCTTTCTTTTTTAGATTTTGATTTTATATATTTTTTTTAAGTAACAAAAATCTATACCGTCTTCTTCCTGCCTGCTTTCCACTCTTTACTCACATCTGAACTCATCCTCTAGGTAAGAAAAAAAACAAAACCTGGAATAAATATTGTCCAGTCTTTTTTCAGTCATGTCCAACTATATGTGAACCCATTTGGGTTCAGGATACAGGAAGGTTGCCATTGCCTTCACCAGCTTATGTTATAGATGAGGAACTGGGGCAAACTCGCCCACAGTGACACAGCTGCTAAGTGTCTGAGGCTGGATTTGAACTCAAGAAGATGAGTCTTCCTGACTCCAAGCCCAGTGCTCCATCCACTGTACTACCTGTACCACATGCTGCTTGAAGAACAATTGTATCAGAACTACTTTTCAAAATATTTATAGAAAAAGGTCACATGCCCCAGGTTGGGATCCCCTGGTGTATAAGAGCCCACTTTGGGGCAATACAGGTTGGGGAGTGATAAATGTTATGAAAGGAGAGATAGAATGTCAATGGATTTTAAAAGGAGGGGAGCCTCAAATCTTATTGTGAGCTCACAGACCTCTTCTTAAAGGAATTCTGATTGCTAAAGTGTTTTAATGAATAAATAGGTCCTGCATAGGAGCCCAGAAGGACCTTAGAAATAGGCAGAATAGGAAGGAGCAAGATAAGCAAGTGAACATAACCCTCTTCTAGAACAGACAGATGTGTCCAAACATAACATAGGGCCTGCACACCTCCCTCAATGCTCCCAAGTGTACTCTGAACCAGATTAAGACATAATTGGAAAATAGGTAACAATATAAATAAAAACACAATATAACGCAGATAATACTGATAACTGGTTTTTAAAAGTCAGACATAGCACAGAGGGATCTTTATAAACAAGTGAATGGCCCCCTTTGATATTGAGTTTTATATAATGTTCTAGAGAACATGAAGAGCCCAACCTGGCCATAAGGGAGAGTCTCTGCAGGGAAATAGTGAGAAAGAAGATTGGATCACTATTTGAGGGCCACACCATGAAAGAGGTCTTGAGTACTAGGATTTTGAACTTCATTTCAAATGCAATGAGGAGCCATTCTAAGGCCTAAGAGAAACAGATTGACCCATCTACAGAGTAATAAGGATGACAGGAATAGACAATAGGTGCTTCTCATCATAAGAGAAAAAAAAAAGAGGTGAGCTCTGAGGTCCACTGAAAGCTGAAAAGGCATGAAAAGGGCTTCAAGGATCTGGACAGGGAATCAGCATGGGTATGGTGGCTGGACTGCCTGTGCTGATAGGGATGTCTGCATATTGCTGGTGGCCTGGGCCAAGCTCAGGATGGCAGGAATGTACCTCAGGTTGAGATGTACATTGAAATGAGTTCATTTCACTTCAGGTCATTTTGGTCCTGAGAAAGCTCAGAGTGACTCCTTCCTTTACCTGAGGAAAGAAGAGAAAGTCCAGATAATAAATACTTCCCCATTGTCCTACAGCCTGAAAGTATTCCCTTTTTTCCCCCAAGCCTGATACCTCTTGCTTTCAATTCTCACCTGATTCCACCCAGGGCTGAGGTCAAGGTGGAGACCCCAGCCCTACAGGCAGAATCAATGCAGAAAGGAAAAGGAACAAGCCTCCATTTTCACTTTCTCATTACCCCACATCCTTCCTCCCCTTTGGGGACACAAGCTCAGACAAGCCCCACTCCTCAGTCCCCCCTCCCCCCATGGCCTCTAGCTCACAGCCTTCAGGCCAATTCCAGAAACACCTATTTATATTTAGGATGACATTTCCTCCTGTTTGTTCATTATTCTTGCATTTTCAAGGTATTCTCAACTACACTACCTCAGGGTCTGATTCTAAGAATGAGACTTTTAGAAATGCCTGGGCATCTTTCCTTCAGAGCTTAGGGCTCAGGGAGCTGCTTTTATCTGGGAATAGAAAAAGCCATGCTTCCTGGTGGAGTTAAAATGAAATCAGATGGAGGGTCCCATACTCACAGCAGCTCCTGTACCTGCCCAACCAAACCACCAGAGCTGTGAAGACTAGGCCTTTGGTCACAATGAGTCCACATAGTACTTGGATAACTGGGGAACTGGAGAAAATGGAAGAGTGTGATGGCCTATGGGACAGAGGAAAGCAAGAAAAGTGAGATATAACTGGGATGTGGCAGGGGGTATGGTGGTGGGGTGAGTGACTGCTCAGGTCTTAACCCTACCCATGGAGGTTCCTACATTTCCTCTGTTGATTATCTCCTATGTGTGTTATCTCCTATATAATTTATCCTGTATGTAGAATGTTCTACACAATTGTTTGCATCTTGTCTCCCCCATTTTTCTGTGAGCTCCTTGAAACTAGAGATGGTCTTTCCCTTCCTCTGTATCTTCAGAGCTTAGCCTAGTATTCAGTATACAGTAGGTACTTAATAAATTCTAGGTACCTTACTGGCTGACTTACTGATGGAATCCTCTCTAGGTACTGTCTACATTTGGTGTACGGTGTGTCCACTGTAAAGTGTTAATGGATAAAGGATAAAGAAGAGGAGGCCTCCCTGGCTCCTCAGAGGAACACCAGCAGGCCTTAGGCTTCAGAGAATAAAAGAACAAAGACAGAATGAGGGTGAGCCACCACAGAGAGGGAAGAGAAGAGGAAAAAAAAAAGCAATGTCATCCTTCAGTAGGAATCCTAGTCACTACTTCTTACTTCGTGACTTTGGGATGTCTGAAGATTTGATTTTTTTCTATTTAGTTTTCTCTTGTCACAGGTGCCCAAAGCAGGGCTGAGGTCTCTGAATGAATCCAGGAGTGTTTATGAATTAAGTGCCTGCCCAGAGCCAGGAGCTGTAGTAGATGGTGGGAGAGCAGGACAGAAATGAAGTGATGTCATCCTGCAAGGAGCTTCCCGGTATTCTAGGGGGATGACAACACATTCACCAACAAGTAGATGCAACATTCAACCAGAAAAATACAAAGAAATGTTTAGGAGTCACTGGCAATTAGGGGGGATGAGGAAAGTCTCTTTGAAAGTGTTTGAGTTGAGACTTGAAGGAAGCTCCAGATAACTAAAGGCTGAGGTGAGGAGGGCTTGCATTGAAGCATGGGACAGAGACAGTATACAGGCTTAGAAATGAGAGCTGGCATGTTGTGTGTGAGGAAAAGCAAGGAAGACTGTTTGGCTGGAACATGGAGGGTGTGGAATACAAGGTTCTATCAATCTAGAAAAGTTGGCTGGAACCAGAGTCTGAAGAGAGTCAGATGGAACCCAGGACTTTGGATTATATCCTGAAAGTCATAGGGAGGCGCTAAAGCTTCTGGGGTGACACAACCAGACCTCTGTCCATCAGTCATGAGGGAATGCTGCCCAGCTTATCAAGAAGAGAGAGTTATTTCACAGAGAGGAATTTGGGGATTTGCCTGGTTTATCTGGAGGTGAAGAAGTGTGATAAACTATACCCACTGTCAAAAATAAAGGAGGAGGGACAGAGCTTAGCATAGGACACAATGCAGGGTGGGTTCAGGACTGAACAATGCCAGGCCAGGGTCAAAAGAAATCAGAGTTCAAGCCATTTGAATCTTGGAAATGAAGGAAAGGGGGAAAGCTAGTCAGTACAGTTCCACTAGGCCCAAGCGAACCCTCAGATCCTTTTGCTTGCCCTTTTGTTCTTCCATCTAGAATGGAAAGCTGGAAAGAGGTCATGTTAGACTAAGAATCTGGGGCAGCACTAGTGAGCCCCACATTAACTGCTAAGGATGGGAGATCTTGAGACACAATGGATTTCCAAAAGTAGTTGTACCTGCTGGTGCCCAAGGGGATGGCAGAGGTGGTGAGAGGTGAGTCAGTGGTAATTTGAGAATGTTTGGTGGTCTTCGATGTTGTGCCTGAAAAAAGAACAGAGAAAAGAAACACTTGGCCCTTGACCCCACACCCTCCCACGCCTCCTCTTCCCCAGAGAAGCCAGAACAGTAGACTGCTGGCCCCAGTGAGGTACTGGGCCTTGAAAAACTTTTAGGCAATGATGCCTAATACATGCCTGTGCATGCATGCTATGAGCTAATATATTATAGTACATCATATCTCATATCTCATTCCTTAAGTATTGTCAAATACTCTAGCCTATAGTTTCTACTGTTAATGTCACCATCAGACTCCTTTACTACCCGCAGGCACATTGATGGCCTGACCAAGGATATCCCTCTGGGATGCTTCCACTATCCCCAGGAGTTGGCTGTGATCAGTGTCCAGAATGAAGGCAATACTAATAATCCCCAGATGTAGAACATTTATAATTCACAAAGAGTATTTCCTACATTCATTGTTACAATCACACCCTACTCCCCCTCCCTACCTCCATTTTACAAATGAGGAACTAATTCTAAGAGAAATAGAATGACCTGTCAGAGTCACAATATAATCATTTTCACAACTAAAACTGCACCCTATGTCTATGCTCTTCCATTGGAATCTGCCAGGATCTACTCCAACAATACCTCTGGTGGACCCACCCCTGTCTCCCTTGTCTCCTGGGGCCAGAGCTCCACCTTAAATCAGTGAAGCACAATTCTGTGTCTGTGTATATGTTGGGAGGACCCTGTGTGTCTCTATGCCTGGGTAAGTGCAGGTACATTTGTATGAATGAGTGTGAGTGTGTGACACAGGACACCCAAGACTTAGAAGCCCCAGGACAAATGTTGGCCCTGCATGGGAATGAGACCAGAGAAGGAAACGCCTCACCTTCCCCAGGGACCGGAAGAGGAGCTACTGTCAAAACCGTGGTCCAGAAGGAAGTGAGGAGAGGATGGGAATGGGGAGGGGCAGGAAGCTGAAGGACTGAAGGAGGGGGAGCAGCTTCTCCCTGGAGACCCCAAGGAGACCCAACTTCACATCCTAGCCCACGGTCATGTTCACACCAGGTATTTCCTAAGCTCTGCTGGAACTGAAGGGGATTGAGTTGGCAGAGCCTTACCTGGAGAAACCTCCAGCCTGATTGTCCTGAGAATATCAGTAGTGTCACTGACAGGGTCATAGATTCCACACCAATAGATGCCCGAGTCCTTCACTCTGAGGTTAGACATGGTGATGGTGATGATACCAGTGTAGGTGTCATCCTCCAGGGAGGCTTGTGGGTTGCACAGTTGCTCAGTAAAGATTGAATTCCTGGTAATTAGTCTATCACACATCTTTCCATCTTTTCTCACTTTACACCAGGTTTTCCAGCTCTTCTCAGCTCTCCAGGGATTGTAGCCACAGCTCACTCTGAGTGTCTGCCCCTCCTCGTACTTCTTTTTCAACACTTTACCCTGTGAACCTGAAAAGCAGATCATCAGGTCAGGGGGAGCCCAGCTGGGCCTCCTTTGAGTCATCTCCCTTCCTTGACCAAAGAATAGGAACAAGATAAGGGGGCTGGTCTCCTTACATAACACCCTCTTCTAAGAAAACATACCTCAAAGAGACATCCCATCACCCAAGGGGGCCTCCTCATCAGTGGTGGCCTAGTAAACAATGAACAACCAGTTCTCTCAATCTTTCTCTTTCCCTCCCTCTTCCTTTTCTTCCCTCCCCTCCTATGTCTTTCCTTCTCCTCTCTCCTCTGTTACTATATATATGTATAGATATACATATGTGTATATATTTATAGATATACATATGTGTATATATGTATATATATACGTATATATGTATATACACACACATATAAGCATATCCAGAAACATGTATATATACATACTCATGACACATTTTAAAATTTAATATACATTATTAACATTTTCTCCATCCCCTTTTTAAGTCTAGCCAATTAACTAAACAATAAATCACCTCTTCATTTCTATGCAGTGTCTGTCAATTTTCAAAGTGTAAAGGTTCTCACCAGAAATTTAACAATCAACTCTTCCAAGCCAGTGTGAACTGGCTCCAGCACACCTCTGCTCCCATCCCTCCCCAGTCCCTCAATAGCATCACAACATTGTACTCCTTCCCCTCTTCTTCTCTCCTCTCTCTTCTCTGCTCCCTGTCAGTCATCACCTCTACCTTTCCCTAACCTCCCCCCACCCCCAGATACCCATTAACAGCAAAAACAGCAGCAGTAGCACTGGGGCCGCCTGGGCCATTATGCCTCCATGGGTACTGAGGCAGGGGACATGTTAGGTGGTCTCTTCATGCTGTCCTTGAGCTATTGGATGGCAGGATGGTGCTGGTCCCAATTCTCCCCTGCCTGATTCTGAGTCTCTGAGAGGAAAGAAGAAGTAAGAGAGGGTGGGGGAAGCTAAAGTTGCCAAAGTGGGAGGAGAGGAAGGAGCATAAGTGCTGACCTCAGAGGAGAGGGGTGAAATCACTTATGTCTAGAAGATTCTACTTGTCAGGGATCTGACCCCAAGGATGGCCTAGGGATCCTCCTCAGGAAAAGCCTTGGCCCTTAGAACCACTCCTGGAGCTTATGTTACATCATAGGCTTCCTGATCTATCCCATGTTTAGATATCCAAAGAGCCTGGACATGAGGGAGATTGGGAGAGGTAGACATACGTATGAAAACTAGGCCTAGTAATTAATAAAGATTCAGGCAAATGGAAATGGAGTTGTCTGGTCTGATAGCAAAACTTCAGATGGATGGCAGTTGCTGAGGGGTGTCTTTTTTGGGGGGGATTCTATTTAGGAAGGATGGATGTCATCTCCTCACTGCCTCTTCACTTGTCCTTTCCCTATGGCCAAGAGGAACTGGTCATAGATTTAAAGATTCTTCCTCGTCTTCCTGGTCATACAACATCCTAAGTTCTTTCTTTTTTATGGTTATTATGTTTCTTTTCCACAGAAAAGTGATTTGGCTAAAGGAATTTGGGAAAATAGGGAGGACTGACTGCTGGACACAGAGTTCTGTGGTCTAATCAGAAATTATTCTTCATTACTCCCCTGGGGAATAGATGGTGACTAGCATTGCTATCCACGTAAGCTATGTCATGGGACCACAGAGCATAAAACCACAACCAAAAGAAACGTTAAAGACCATTTAATCCAGCAGTTCTCAATTTGTAGTCCAAGGATCTCTGGAAGAGGGGAGGGAGGGGAAAATGCTTTAATATGGTGCCTACCACGTGCCAGGCACTATGCTAAGGGCTGTTTACATATATCTCACTGATTCTCATAAGAACCCAGGGAAGTAGGTACTACTGTTATTCCTCATTTTACAGTTGAGGAAACTGAGGCAAAAAGAGGGCAATGACTTTAACAGGGTCCCACAACTTATAAGTATCTAAGTCTAGATTTGAAACCATCTCCAACTGCCTCCATACCCAGAACTGTATCCACTGCACAATCAGGTGCCTCTCAGTCCCCAAACCTCTTTTAAGGGTTTCATAGGTAACAACTATCTACATAATTGTACTAATTCTCTATTTGCATATTTCTTTTCCAACTATATATCTGTGTGAGTACAGATTTTTTTTCATGTACTTCAGCTAAAACAACTATTTGCAAGAGATTGAATGGAGAGCAGACATGAGAATGCAGCTTTGTCCTATTAAGACAGTGAAGAGATTTACACAGTTATGTAGAAACAATGGCTCTTCCCACTGAAATTTTTTTTTAAAAGTTCTCTTTAATTTTAAATGTCTTGTCAACATGTAACAGGTTTATTATTTTATTATTATCTTAACTGAATTAAAGAATTGATTCAAATTTCTCAGTTTTAATTTCTAATATGGAAAATATCAATAGAGATAACCCATAAACAAAATCATTTTGGGGTTCTCAGTAACTTTTAAGAGTGTATTTGGGTCCTGAGACCATGAAGTTCAAGAACCATTGGTATAAGATTTCATTTGGGAGAATGTTCTGAGTATGAACTCATTTGGTAACCTATGTATTTTTAAAGTTTCCCTGCAAAAATTCCCGAGAAGGTGGTGAGAGCTACCCCTCTGCATGTACAGTCTCCTGACCTTTGGAATCTGACCACAGATGTATCCAGGTGTGAGGCTGAGCTCAGGGAGCAATGAGAACATCCATTGTTCTTAAAGATAATAAAAACCTAAGGTGAGGCCAGGTAGTATGATCCTCAGCCGTGTCAAGTCCCATGTGGGAGAGGAAGGAAATGTGGGCGCTGGCCATGCTCATCTTCATGAGACAAAAGATACCAGAGCCCTGTATAGAAGCAGACACTATGAGAGTCCATGAATGCGCCTGCTAGCCTAACTTCACAGTGATATCATTGGGTTGATACATCCAGCTGTCCTGTGGATTAATTTACTATAACATAAACTAATTGATTGTGTCAAGGTAACTTGTTCAGTTTCTGAGATCTTCTCACTAGCAGAAAAGAAAGAAGTCTATGGTGAGATTGCCTTCTGAGAGGAGTGAGGAAAGAGTCTATTGGCTTCCTTTTCAAAGTTTTGAACTAACCTAAAATAAATGCTTATAAAGGCAGTTAATACCTACCCTATGTGGAATTCCTGATACTGATATTCCCAGGGTCTACCATTCATTAGTGGTGGAGGGGAAGAAGTACAATTAGCCACAGAAGGGAAAGTCACCCTAAAGGTTATCCTGACCTCCCTCCTGTTAGCAGGCCATGTCTGATACAAGAGCTATATGTGTGTTGGAGACAAATTATTTATTCAATCCATAGAAAATGTGAGTCTTTTGTATTTTTTTTCTACTGAATTCTTTACTGAGATGGATCTCTTGCAACAATTGCTTGGCTCCACATACAGTTTACAAGTGGAGAATGACTCATTTAATTTATCTCCCTCATTTGAAAGATGAGGAAACAGAGGTTCAGAGGAGCCAAGTAATATTTTCAACCCAATTAGAAGCAGATCTGGGTCTAGATCCAAGGTCTCCCAGCTCCCAGGACAGTACTCTTTCTAAGGCACAATGGTTCCTGGATTCAAAGACTAGGCAGCAGGAGGCTGTTCCTGGCACATTTCTCATGGCAGGATTATGGTCTTCAAGAAAAGACAGAGGTAACTTTTTTTGTCCCTTACAAATGAGGTCTTTGGTGATTTATGGATAGGGTAGAATCTCAGATGGCTCCAGAGGAGACAGGGAGGCTGGTGACTTTGCAAGCCCTCCCTGACTTAAAACCAATTCATTTGCAAGCCATGACATCACTTTCCTAATGTCATGGTCCTCTGTGAGAACAGAAGAAAAACAACAACAAGAATCCCTTTAATAGAAGACAGCAACTGTCATTGTTTCTGCTCCAAAATAAGGGGCAGAGCGGGGCCTGGGTAGATCCTGTGCAATGGGAGGAGGGTCTCCTTGTGAGGCAATAGATGAGGAAAGATGTGTCAGTCAGTCAGTCAGCAAGCATTTATTAAATGCTTGCAATGGCAAGCGATTATGGAATTTCAACTCAATTCAGTAAACATTTATTAAGTACCTACTATATGCCAGGCAATATGCTAAGTGCTGGAACTATAAATAAGAAAAAGAGACAGCTCCTGCCCACAAAGAGCTTCTTGTTTGTTGTTCTTCCTTCATTCTCAAAGATGACCAATGACATCATGAGGTTAACATCTCGACTTGTAAACTGATTGACTTTAAATGAGGCAGAGCAGCTCAAATCATCAGCCTAACTCTCTCCTCCAGAATCATAGGAGTCAAGTGGCAAGACACAAGCCAAGAAGATGGACATTGCCCAGGATGGCCTTTTCAAGCTGAGATCTTTCCCGGGTCTCAGTGTGTTTGAGGCAATGTTCATTCTCCAGGAGCTTATAATCCAAGGAGGGAAGTCAACACACACAAAAGAAAGCAAAAAAGAGTTACTAGGAATGCTGGGAGGTCTCTATAAGGGAAGGCATTGAAAGGAGTTTAGTGCACAGACCTCCAGCCCACCAATTAGAGGGAAGAGGCAATTAAGGGTGAGTTGGGAAGGTGAAGGCTATCAAAACCTGAATCTTTCTTCCTGGTTGTGAGATCTCAGGTTATCTGCTTTTCCTGGGAGGAGGGCATGATATTCTTTGGAGTCAAAGTCAAACAGAGCTGCAGATGGAAAAGAAAGTTGTTAAGTTACTTTTAGGGCACTATGTGAGGTAGTAAAGTTACCAAAAAAAAAAGACAAAATACTGTCCTGCTCTCAAGGAGGTCACAGTCTGAAGACCTCATGTAAACAACCATGCTATACAGGAGAAATTAAAATAATCAACAAAGGGAAGAAACTAGAAATAAGGGAGAATGGAAAAGGCTTCATGTAGAAGGTGGTATGTTAGGTGAAACCTGAAGGAGAGCCAGGAGGCTGAGATGAAGAGGGACAGCATTCCAAGCATGGGGGAGAGCCAGTGAAAATGCACCATCAGGAGATTGAATGCTTTGTGTGAGGAACATGCCATTGTCACTGGAGCCCAGAGGACATGGTGGGGACTGGGAGGGTGTAATGAGTAAGAAGCCTGGAAGTTTGGAGTGAGGGAGGTTGGTTATGAAGGCTTTTGAATGCCTAATAAAAGATTGTGTATTGGATCTTGGAGGTGAAAGGGAGCCCCTGGAATTTATTGACTGATGGATGACACGGTCATATGCTTTAGGGAATTCAGACTGACAGCTGAATGTAAGATGGACCAGCCACCTGAATTACTGCAATGGTCAAGGTAGGAGTTTATGAGGGTATGCAACAGGACAATAGCAGTTTCAAAGGAGAGAAAAGGGTATATTTCAGAGCTACTATGAAGGTAAAAATCAAAAGGCGTTGGCAGTAAATTTTATTGGGGGAAGGGAAGGGTGGGACAGTGAGGAGTCAAATATAACATCTACGTTGCCAGCCTGGATGATTGGGAGGATTGTGATGCTCTCAGCAGTGACAGTGAAATCTGAAAAAGTGGAGGGTTAGGGAGGGGAAAGATAAGTTCAGTTTTGGAAGTGCTGAGTTTAAGCTGTCTGTGGGATATCTCATTCAAGATGTCCAATGGTAGTTGGAGGTGTGAGTTTGGAGGTCAGTAAAGAGTTTGGGTTATCTATACTAGATAAGTAGATTTGAGAATCATGGGCATAGAAATGATAATTCATTCTGTAGGAGGAGATAACATCACCAAGTGATACAAATATAGCAACAGAAGAAAAAAGGGCAGAGTGCAGACCCACTTTTAACTGGTTTCACCTGGATGATGGTCCAGCAAAGAAGACTGGGAAGGACCAGTCAAACGGTTGGGAGGAGACCCAGTACAGAGTAGAGTCACAAAAACCTAGAGAGGAGGGAATTTCAAGGAGAAGAGCATTCTAGATAGTGTCAGAGGCTG